AATAATTGTAGAAAAGTTGTTTTGCTGAAGGACAAAAAGACAGTGGGAAGGGTTCGAACTCGGGCTCCTATTATCGGAAAGCATGCGCTCTACCAATCTTGAAAAGCCACATGCACATGAATGTGCATATAGCGCGACTTCCTGAACATACTTGTACAGGAAGTCGGTCAGATGACCCCCTTGATCGACGTTCATGATCACAAATAAAATACTATTCATATTATACAAATAATGTCCCCATAGCCCTGTCTAATCGTGGTTACTACAGTGTCCTCTTGTTTCGGAGTTGCAAAGTGCTAAAATAACGTAGGCATTGTAATAATTACTAAAGCCAATATTAGTTAACTATAATAACTATAATAATTTATGATTAAAAGTTATATTTCAAGTTATATAGCGCCAATTTTTGCTCATGGGCATTGAGAAGATCTTTTACATGAGGGGTCTTACCTCCTACAGGGTATTCATTTATACTCCCGAGTATAGAGCATCAATAATTGTAGAAAAGTTGTTTTGCTGAAGGACAAAAAGACAGTGGGAAGGGTTCGAACTCGGGCTCCTATTATCGGAAAGCATGCGCTCTACCAATCTTGAAAAGCCACATGCACATGAATGTGCATATAGCGCGACTTCCTGAACATACTTGTACAGGAAGTCGGTCAGATGACCCCCTTGATCGACGTTCATGATCACAAATAAAATACTATTTATATATATACAAATAATGTCCCCATAGCCCTGTCTAATCGTGGTTACTACAGTGTCCTCTTGTTTCGGAGTTGCAAAGTGCTAAAATAACGTAGGCATTGTAATAATTACTAAAGCCAATATTAGTTAACTATAATAACTATAATAATTTATGATTAAAAGTTATATTTCAAGTTATATAGCGCCAATTTTTGATGATTAGCGCTTTACAATGATATTATTAGCCCGGTCATAGGAAACAATGCAAGCCAGCGCACATTGTGTGCACCATCTCAACTCCCTGGGGAGCAATCCTCCTAACCGGCTCATGGGCATTGAGAAGATCTTTTACATGAGGGCTTTCACCTCCTACAGGGTATTCATTTAAACACCCCAGTATAGAGCATCAATAATTGTTGATAAATTGTTTTTGATGAAGGACAAAAAGACAGTGGGAAGGGTTCGAACTCGGGCTCCTATTATCGGAAAGCATGCGCTCTACCAATCTTGAAAAGCCACATGCACATGAATGTGCATATAGCGCGAATTCCTGAACATACTTGTACAGGAAGTCGGTCAGATGACCCCCTTGATCGACGTTCATGATCACAAATAAAATACTATTCATATATATACAAATAATGTCCCCATAGCCCTGTCTAATCGTGGTTACTACAGTGTCCTCTTGTTTCGGAGTTGCAAAGTGCTAAAATAACGTAGGCATTGTAATAATTACTAAAGCCAATATTAGTTAACTATAATAACTATAATAATTTATGATTAAAAGTTATATTTCAAGTTATATAGCGCCAATTTTGGATGATTAGCGCTTTACAATGATATTATTATCCCGGTCATAGGAAACAATGCAAGCCAGCGCACATTGTGTGCACCATCTCAACTCCCTGGGGAGTAATCCTCCTAAGCGGCTCATGGGCATTGAGAAGATATTTCACATGACGGCTTTTACCTCATACCGGGTCTTCATTCATACACCCCAGTATAAAGCATCAATAATATTATTGTGGATAAATTGTTTTGATGAAGGACAAAAAGGCAGTGGGAAGGGTTCGAACTCGGGATCCTATTATCGGAAAGCGTGCGCTCTACCAATCTTGACAAGCCACATGCACATGAATGTGCATATAGCGCGAATTTCTGAATATACTTGTACAGGAAGTCGGTCAGATGACCCCCTTGATCGACGTTCATGATCACAAATGAAATAGTAATCATATATTTACAAATATTGTCCCCATAGTCCTGTCTAATACTGGTTACAACAGTGCCCTCTTGTTTCGGAGTTGCAAAGTGCTAAAATAACCTAGGCATTGTAATAATAACTAAAACTAATATTAGTTAACTATAATAAGTTATGATTAAAAGTTATGTTTCGATTTATATAGCGCCTAATATGGATGATACACGCTTTACAATGATATTATTAGCCCGGTCATAGAAAACAACGCAAACCAGCACACATTGTGTGCACCATCTCAACTCCCTGGGGAGCAATCCTTCCAAGCGGCTCATTGGCATTGAGAAGATCGTTCACATAAAGGCTTTCACCTTCTACCGGTTCCCTATTTATACACCTGAGAGCAGCAATAATTATTGTAGCCTATCTGATATGCGTCGAGCTTTATGGCAAGTGCACTAATCGCGTTTAAGGAGACTGACATCGGCTGACGCCCGCGCGGATGTCAGTCTCCATAAACGCGATTAGCCACTATATGCCCTTTCAGCTAGAAACCCCCAATATCTCATATTTTCAGACATATTTATACATAGTTTTAATTTAATGCTTTATACGTATACGCATGATGATGTTGAATATATATAACAAGTTCCAATTGGTTTCACGAAGTTACGTCTTTAGCTAGTCTAGCCTAGCTGGAAAATTTGGGTCTTTGGGGGCGTCTGGCGGCTACACCCCACCACTTAAAAAGTTTGGCACAGTCATTCGTTTGTCCTTTAGATATAAATAACAAGTTCCAATTGGTTTCACAAAGTTACCTTTTCAGCTAGCCTAGCCGGGAAAGGTCGGATCAACATCATCCTCATCATGGTCACCATCTTCATCACCCTCACCATCACCATCATATTCTTCCTCATCACCACTACCATTTTCATCCTCAATATCATCATTATCATCACTATCATAATCATTCTTCATATTTCATCATGCCGACATGTTAGTCATAATAAACCAAAGTAGAGAACATGAATGTGCTGAATTTAATATAAAAAGGTTTATTTTGTACGTTTACATGAACTAAAGTTAGATTTTCAAATACACACATCAATTTGTATCTGGTTAGTTCACGAGTATGTAAGTACTAATAAGCCTATGATATTAATTCCATCCATGATAAAATGCCTTACTAAGAGTTCTGGTGTTGGCGGAGGCATAACAACTGTGAACAAGAACGTTGTGGCCCGAATTCACAAAGCAAGGTTTAGCTCAGACCAAGGTTTAAGTTTAAACCTCCTTTTGTTTCGCCAAACCTCCTTTTGTTATTTACAAACCAGGTTTATAAATAACAAAAGGAGGTTTGGCGAAACAAAAGGAGGTTTAAACTTAAACCTTGGTCTGAGCTAAACCTTGCTTTGTGAATTCGGGCCTGTATGTTTAGCTAGATCATTGCAAAAAGCTGGACATTAAACATAACGATTGCTGAGTATGTAAAGTTTGTCTTGCCCCATGTTGTATGAGTTTGTACTTTGTTGGTATTATATTGACAAATGTATTTCGAAAATACTGAAATATGGTTTACTTAGTACAATTACCCGGTAAAAATTAAACTATGTGTTTGTACTACATTTTTATTCTGACATTTTGAACATATATTTATACAAACATTTTCAAGGAGTGATCAATTCAATACACATGCAGTACCAGGGTTGCCAACTTTGAGCCAGAGGTGAGAGTGAGACACTGCGAGGGAGCTAAGCGACTGAGCGGGGGAGGGTGTGGGAGGGGGTGGGAGGGGTGTGTCCCCCTCCTACGGTAGGGAGCTTTTTGCAATTTTGGACTTGAAATTGTGCAATCTGGTGCATATCTAGATATGAAATTGAGGCTTAAGATTAACTATATCTGGGTAAGGGTGTTTATGATTTGATCGACCAGAAATTTGTAATATATTTTTCACGAAGAAAACAAATAATTGACATATGCACCCCAATACACACACATGCAAATATTATTGTATTTAGTGTCATATGCAGTTCCAACATAAACCATATATGCAACATTATGTATGATCCAACAACATACAGCCAAGAATGAGTCCCGAGGGAGCGAAGCAACATAGGGCTGGGGCAGAGCCAGAGGGGGAGGGGGTTACCTCCCTTCCACGGTAAGGAAGATTTTGCATATATACTTGACATGGTGCAATTTGGTGCACGTCATGCCATACATGTGTCAAACGTGAAACAGGAGTTTTCAACAGGAACTGTATTTATCTCCACAGGTCAATCACCAAATAAACTGCACACAGATTGTGATTGAACAATGGTGCAAGCAAATACTAAACAAAATATCTAGGACTTATAAAACTTATAGCTAATATGTAATTTTCATTGTCAATTTTCGAGAACTTGTTCGTGTCAAACCTGAAAGAAATGTTGTCCATACAATATCTTTATGTCAAAACTCCAACATTGTAGTAACATTATGCTAAATCAAATTAAACACATTTAACCCTTACTGTACTGGGGGGGGGGGGCCTGGGAGGCCCCCCCCCCCCTCGACATTTTCGGAGATTGCGCCGCAACCGCTTGGAATTTTGAATTGTCGTTTCATGACTTTTTTCCCTCAAGTCTTACGCACATTTTGATACAATTTTCGTCAAAATCGGATGCGCATGTCATCAAAAAAAAAAAAAAAAAATTTAAAATCCATCAAAATTTGCATAGACCAAATAAATTGTCATTATTAATCACATTTAAATAACTTTTTTGTGTTAGAAAAGAAGTTTCATATGAATAATGAGTTTCAACATTCAAAAAGTGGAGTTTGATACGTTTTCTGTAAAATGCATAAAATTAGCGCATTTTGCATAATTAATTAGGCTAACGACAAAAATTTGCATATTCGGAAAAAACTAATTATACCATCTTGTTCCTTACGTAAATATCTACAAACATGCAAATTTTCGTGTTCATCGGACAATCGACGGCCGAGATTATAGGGGGGGGGGGCCTCCCAGGCCCCCCCCCCCCCCCAGTCAGTGGGTGCTCAAAATAGCCCAGTACAGTAAGGGTTAATGGCTGCTGTGTAGTTTAAGGAAGGGATGATTTCTACACACACGTTTTTCATTTGTAGAATCCAAATACCGGTAACAGGTGTTCGACCTGACATTTTATTTGAATATTGAATTCGTCCCCATCCATCTACGAGAAAATATTCAGACGATGTAAATGGTGGACATTCCCTTGAGAGGGGTAGTACAATTTTGGTAGAGCTAAGCTTTAGTTACCATAAAACAACAACACTACAATCTAATAGTTATTATTTCACCATGCTTGAAAGTTATAGAAAATTACGAAGACTATGGAAGAAAAATAACCTGTTATCATTCAAAAAGAGCCATTGAAACACAAGAAGGCGCTCTAAAAAAAACATTGGTTTGAACCATTTTTCATACAAAGTTATGCTTGTGATGTTGTGTTGAAATAATGATGATATAAAGAAATCATCAACAACTTTTTAAAAACCTCTTTTAAAAATGTTTGAAAAGTGTAAGCATTTTATTAATTTTTAGAAAAATCATCTTATAAATTTGGGGCCCAAATTTATTCTGACTGGATATATTTATTGATATTTCAGCTGTTTCTAAATTTCAAATTTAACACTTGATTTTCATTATCTCACAAACAAATTATTTTGTGTAGCACCCACTTTACCAAAACTGAACTACCTCTTTAAGCAATAGGAATTTAAACAAAAAGTGACAATGCTTTCCATTTACTGAAACTTATGGAAAACATACATTTCAATAACATTCAATATGGCCTTGATCATGTTGGTAATGGCTGTCTGTTAGGATCATGCACACCCCTGCTGTAATGTACATGAATTCTGTGGTGCTAGTGGCGACTAATCAAACGAAAGTCCACTCTACTGCTTTCCGCTTGAGGGAAACATCATTACTGGTTGTGCCATAGCAGGTTCTTTCATGGTTTTGAATAGATGGAATCCATTTGCATACCCACTTCAGTATTGATGTCCTTTCTCTGACGCATTGGGGTGATAAACTGTGTGGTTGACCCTATATCCATCGATACCTATAGGGCAAAAGAAAGAAAATGGGCATATCAGTGGCAATTATCAATGCATAAAGATAATACAAATGGTTGGGACTAATCTTCCAATTTGTCTTTTAGACGAAAAAGATTGACCCTGATAAGCACTCTATCAACAACAAAAACATATGCAAACTGGGAAAGGTAAGGCCGATATTCATTTAATCCTAAGAATCGTAAGGGGTTGAGGAGCAAGAGATCATCTTCAGTTGAAAATAATGACTCCGCTATCAAGCCAAAATTAACATGCACTGAATTAATCTGTAAACTCAACTTTGATGGTAATTCATCAACCAGATCCTGAGAAATCATAATTACAAGCTATTTTAGAATGATTACTGTAACCTTGACCTTTGACCTCATGACCCCAAGATTGTACCACTACATTGGCTTCATAAAATTCAGGTACCAGGTGTGATTAAAATCTGACATTCATTTCTTGAGTTTTTACAAATAAAGGCCATTTCGCACCTATAAATTCTGTGACCTTGAACTTTTACCTCATGACCCCAAAATGGTAAGGTACGTAAGTCCCCTAAGATACATTCAGGTACCAAGTTTGATTGAAATCTGATATTCAGTTCTTGAGATTTTGCCATTATAAACAGTCTTAGCATGTATTTATAATATACCGGCAGTCATATGACCTTGACCTTTTGAACTTGTGTCCCCAAATTCTGACCAAATATTTTCCCCTCAAGAGACATACAGGTACAAAACTTGATGATATTTTGTCTAAATAATGTGATCACAGTAATACAATATGTTTGTAAATATATATAAGCCCTGAGACATTTTATCTAAAGGCCTCCAAAATCCAAAAGATACACATATTACTGGTAATGTGTCAACTGGTTCTTATGATATTGTACACCTTAGCAGTTATCATAAAGCCTTGTGACCTTTTATTCCATGATCCGAATATCAATCATATCATTGTCACCCACAATGTGGGAACATACCAAGTTACAAATTGATCCATCAACAGGTGCTCTAAGATATCACAAGACTCTTCATGGGACAAAATCTCTCAAGGGTCCCGACACATGTGATGAGATATATCTGGCAAAATCTTACCCAACATTTAAGGATGTTTCACAGCCTCTTCACATTGACATGCATCCTGATGCTAAGCTGGTCTAAGTGCTGGTCTAAGTGCTGGGGGGTGTTTCACAAAGATCTTAAGTAGAACTTAACACTAAGTTGGACTTAAAAAATTATGGACAGCCATTGGAGCCTTAAAATGAAATATATTCAAAAGCAGAAATTCAAGTATTTCAGACTTTTTATAAATTCCACATCTAGAATATTAAATCTCCTTGATGATAGAAAATATGAATGATTTGAATCAACATTTTATGCCTTTCAAAATAACTTTTACAAAATATTTTCAAAGATGCTAACGGCTTTCCATAATTTTTAAGTCCAACTTAGAGATAAGTTCAACTTAAGATCTTTGTGAAACACCCCCCTGGTCTAGTATGTGGTTGTTCAAACTGCCTCTCGATCAAATGCTGTACAGGTATGGTACTGTAGTAAACAAATACATGTAAGAAGACAATAATACAAAAATATCAAAACATACACAAAATGGCGTTCTGCATTTATGCATTGCTATCATAAACATAAATTATATTTCCTCTAAGCTATCAAGAAGTATCGGTGAGTTGTATAAATTTAAAAAACTTTTCACATCTCAAGATATTGTGCTATATTTATAACGCGATTATATTAACACATTTAAATTATTGCAATGAAATATGGGGAAATACATACAAAGCTCATTAAAAATGATTCTTGCTCCAGAAACGTGCCATACGTATAATATCAAACAGTAAAATTTGATACCCACTCACTTCCCCTTGTTGTAAATTTAAAAACTCTTTCCTTGTTTCATCTGGTAAAACTGAATATATTAATTGTTATGTTTAAATTTCATAGGGGTATCCTCCCTGAAGTATTTGATAATATGTTTAAGACTAATATTTTTTTCATACATATCCCACAAATCAATCTGTCATCAACTCATCGTCAGCTCAATCGGTAAGGACAGCGTGTTACTAATAGGACTTTGGATTTGACGTGAGGGTTTGAATCTCAGTTTATTCAGTTTTTTGCCTTTATAAATAGTGGGGCAAAGCAATAAATAATCGAAGTCCAATTGTTTGTGACCTCTTTTTATGTATGAAAGTGAGTTCATACTGGAATCTGGGCTCGCTGGGGTACGAAAAAATAAGACCCGGCCTGAAACGACCTAGCTGATTGGCCTTCCTAACATCACAATAAAAGAATTTGCTGAAAATGATGACATTCTGGGAGAAACGAGTCACTGTGTATGGCACCAAGTGATGTGAGGATGATAAGATGCATTTCAGTGTTTTCACAAAATCAAGGAGGGGTACAATTTTTGAAAATCTTACCCTGCATTTGGAGAGGTTTCACAGCCTCTTCACATTGACATGCATCCTGATGCTAAGCTGGTCTAAGTGCTGGTCTAAGTATGTGGTTGTTCAAACAGCCTCACGATCAAATGCTGCACAGGTTTGTTACTGTAGTAAAGAAATAAGAAGACATTTATACATAATAACACAAAAATATATACACAAAATGGCATTCTGCATTCATTGCTATCTTAATATGAGCACTGGTTTCTCTTACAGCACGGAAAGATCAAGATGTTAATTTGACACATGTTCATTGGCTATTACACTGAATTTTAGTTTTTCTAGAAGAATTAATCATGTGTAACCATGTGTCAAATAAACCGTATACACGTCATACAGTAATTTGTTGTAAAATCTGACACAAATTATTGCTGTATTAACCAGGAAAGCAGAGTTCTTTTTCAATGAAACTTTCACACATCATACGGACATATCTAACAATAGGTGAATAGGTGAATAGGTGAATAGGTGAACAGTTCATACTGGAATCTGGGCTCGCTGGGGTACGAAAAAATAAGACCCGGCCTGAAACGACCTAGCCGATTGGCCTTCCTAACAACACAATAAAAGAATTTGCTGAAAATGATGACATTCTGGGAGAAACGAGTCACTGTGTATGGCACCAAGTGATGTGAGGATGATAAGATGCATTTCAGTGTTTTCACAAAATCAAGGAGGGGTACAATTTTTGAAAATCTTACCCTGCATTTGGAGAAGTTTCACAGCCTCTTCACATTGACATGCATCCTGATGCTAAGCTGGTCTAAGTGCTGGTCTAAGTATGTGGTTGTTCAAACAGCCTCACGATCAAATGCTGCACAGGTTTGTTACTGTAGTAAAGAAATAAGAAGACATTTATTCATAATAACACAAAAATATATACACAAAATGGCATTCTGCATTCATTGCTATCTTAATATGAGCCCTGGTTTCTCTTACAGCACGGAAAGATCAAGATGTTAATTTGACACATGTTCATTGGCTATTACACTGAATTTTAGTTTTTCTAGAAGAATTAATCATGTGTAACCATGTGTCAAATAAACCGTATACACGTCATACAGTAATTTGTTGTAAAATCTGACACAAATTATTGCTGTTTTAACCAGGAAAGCAGAGTTCTTTTTCAATGAAACTTTCATACATCATTCGGGCATATCTAACAATGATTTTGGCATGGGATGAAAGACTCAAATGTCATTTTGGGCGATACCTGACAATTTCCAGGTGCACCTGTATGGGTAGCACACCACTTGAGTCAAATCTTGTCAGTATACCAGGTCTCTACTTTTAACGGAAACACCACCCGTAATCAATAATCTTACAAATGAGTTTTAGTAGTCCAGTCCATTCCACTAATAAGTTCAGAAAAAATAGTTTCCAGACTAATTGTATAATTTGAATACCCATTACAATACTACAGTAATTGTTCATGGGTCTGCAGATAGAGACTAGTCCATTGTCTAGGATGTAGGCATCTACCATGCTTTGAATGTATGCAGGTAAGAATTGGCGCACACACAATGTACGTTTACTTTGGGCGCTTGCCTTTACCAAACTATCTAGCCTTAGCTTGGCAAAAGGGTACGTGTTTCTCAAAATGGGCCATTTTAGCTTTTTTCCATTCCCAGGGTTTTCAAGGTCCAAATTGAAATTAAGCAAACTCCCATATGAGCTTAGATTTAGGTTTCCGAGATATCAGGGGCCATATACACCCAATTACATAATTTGTATAGTACTGTATGGTACTGTAGATCTACAGTATATATCCACGTCCATGGAATTGTTGTTATAACTTAAGCGATTTACATGTTGTGTTGGGACGTATGGGATGCTGGCCTGGATCAACCTTACCTTAAAGGGCAATGAAACTGTGGCTATCGGTTATTATTATTATTATTATTATTATTGTTTAGAGGGTGAACAGACATTTGATTTAATACATAACTTGGCAATGTTGGCCTCCTGGATCCAATAAATCCTTACGTGAACATAGTAACATACCCACATTTTACTAATTCTTATGGCGGCAAAAGATGATGGGATATAGGCCAAGTTCTTGTAAATTACCTGACATGCTTTGCAAACTCTGACGTACATGTACTGTATGTGCCAATGGTCGAACAGAAAGCTTTTCACTGATTTCAAAGCATCTACAACAAGTATTCAGATTTCAGACGATGGTTTCTTCAAGCATGTACATTGTAGTTGTACAGTGTCAGCCAAGCCCGAGGGCAATTTTTTTAATCAATTGCATGACGCGCAAAATCAGGTCTACAGTACGAGTGGCTTAGTAAAGTGCGCGCCTTATGCCCAGGGGGGGGGGGGGGGGGATGCACTCAGTCATAGATTCAGACCTAATGTAATAGTATAAGACGGGTATGTGCTGCTACTGCCTGCTAGTACAGTTAACCTTTTAGTTCTACAACCATGCGCGTAGCCAGGTGGGGGCGGTCGCCCCCCAAAAAACGCCGGCCAAAAAAAAAAAAAAAAAAAAAAAAAGAAGAAAGGAAGAGGACGTAGGAAGAAAAAGGATTAAGAGTCGAGAACGGTACAACAAATTGTGTTCTTTCTTTAATAATCTAATTAAAAACGTCAAAGCTTCCGCGCTATGCGCAGAGGAAGGGGAGCTTGATTCAAACAATGATTAAGAGTTGAGCCGAGGACGGTACAACCAATCTTCTTCTTTCTCTAATGAAACGTCAAAAGAAACTGAATTTAGATAAGGATTAAGAGTCGAGTACGGTCCAACGAATCGTCTTCTTTCTCTAATAATTTAATGAAACGTCAAAGCTGCACCCACCCCCCTAGAAAGCCGCTACGCGGGCTTCGCGTGCTCACTAAAATGAAATCCTGGCTACGCGCTTGTCTACAACGGCTAGTGCAACACGGTAACTGCAAGTTTAGCTAGACTAGATCTAGAGACTAGTAGTAGTACTAGATGGATCTAGATCTAGTCTAGTATTGGTTAGTAGTCTATTCCTGTTTTCGACGCCTTTGGCGTCGGCGTCGGAGCTTCCTGGCCATGGATAGAGTTCTATAAAGAATTTAGATCGACAAACCTATCGCTTTCATATGGCCCCTCCTTCATATTTACCGCAGCAGCAGTCTTTCAGTTTGGTCGTTTCTAAATCTAATTCACCACAAATAAAAACACTAAAATAATAATATTAATAACTCATAAGACTAAGAGCCAAAAGCAAAGGCAAAGGAAAAGAGGCCATGCATTGTTAACGATAGATTTGTATTGTAGGCCTAGAGTCTAGATCTAGATCTAGTTCTAATTTATCCTCCTAGTCTATGATAAACTAACAACACAGGGTAAAGTACATACCAGCCTTCGTCCAACTCGTCGAGTAAGCTGCCTCGACATCGACGTCGACAGCAATCATGTCGATCCTGCAAAAATGTGCATGCATTCACGACACCGTTTGGCGTCCAGTCTAGTAGCTAGCTAGAGCCGCGAGTCGACCAGCCCGGCTGGCCGGCCCGGCCCGGCCAAGGAGGCGCGCATCGCAGTCAGATATCCTGGTCGCTCGATCAAGCGAAAATCAATACTGTACGAAAATGTTAGAGTTTTCCTAACCCTAGCCAGCGCGCTAGCCAGCTAGGCAGCTAACCCTAGATTGTTCACATCTCAACGCAAGTTGGCGCTTTTTGCCTTTGAAATCGAGAGTCCGTCATGATCTTTGGGAAGATCAATACTATTTTGTAAACTTTATTTAAAAACAGGAAAATGCGTTTCCAGTAAAATTTCCAGCGGATTTAAATTACAATTTACTTCTGCTAACTTGGTATAAAAGGGCAATCAATAAATCCAAGAATTGGAGCCGTCAGAAAGGGCTTGTGTTACGGGGACATATACAAGTCCCCGTAACGCGGCAAGTCCCCGTAGCACGGGGACATACCGACAGAATGTCCGCGTAGCACTAGTTTTACATAAATATATATATATATATATATTGTGTATTGGTGTATGTAAAGTGTGTGTGTGTGTGTGTGTGGTGTATTTACTTCTTGTTAATGCATGACAGGGAAGAAGATAGAAAGACCCAGAGGTCAACCTAGGAATAATTTATTAAGATGAGAGGTACGTCTAGTTTCCTGTCGTTTGCTCTTTTCCATAACACAGTATCGATGTCTTTCAATCCTCACATTGTGTTTTCTTCTTTGTAGATGTCATGTTTGTGTTGCTCTCCCACTTACATTGTTTCTTGTCGCCATCGATGTTAAGGGCTGACATCAATTTATCCTTCTTGTCATTATCCTTGACTTGTGATGCGAGGTACTCCAATTCCCCATTCGATATATGTTTAACTGCCAATAAGATATTACGATAGTAAATTAGTTTTTGTATGAGACTTACAATTCACGTCATTCTGCTGTTGTCCACATTGTTAGGCTCTGTCTTAATATAACGATTTAAGAAAAATATCATAGCTCATACAGAAAATAATAATTCCATTTAGATTTGGTAGCTATTCCATGATCTTTATTTTCTTCAAACTTTGCTATAATGAGTATCACTGTCTACTCAACTCCTAAGTTTTCTAATCATGCATTACATCAACTCTCCAAACAATTTGGCTAACTGTATAATATTTCAGATAAAATTTCAAGATATATTATTATTATAGATATATCAATGATTCATAACAACATGGATCAAGGAAGTCATAAACTAAGGCGCGGTACACCTAAAGTTTTCAAGTAAATTTTGATGTAGATGAAAGTTCTTGTCTCACCGTATGCTCTATCCCCAATTAAGTCCGTAATTTCTGAAAAGACTTCTTTCAGTTTTGAGGTCAAATGATGTTCCTCCATTGCCAAAGCTGTTGATCGCTGGGACTCTGCGGTTCCCCCCCTCGCAAATGATCAGAGAGGCCTACCTTCTTGCAGAACTCTGACATCATGTCTACATGAAGACGATCCATCAGCTTCTTCAACCGAATCAAATCATCATCAAAGATTGTTTCGTGGTCTGTAAGGAATGAGTTGTGTTCCACAAAGAATTGACAGCTTACAAGTGATCTGAATACATGTATATATGTATGATAAATACAAAATTAAAAATATTTCGACCCCGTTCATATTGCGCTAAAATTGTCACCATATATGCGTCCGATGAAACGGCCACTATGAATGGTAATGAATGGCAAATTAATATTTATCGTTTTGATAATACATTCATCGGCAATACTGCTGCCTCCAGCGTAATTTAGGCCCTTACTCATTTTGCAGTCAGATAAATTGGCTTTAAAAAAAAATGCTTGTTTGGATTGCAAAGTCCGTATTAAAGGAAATAGTAGCAACCACCGTGGATCCATGATTGTGTTCCACCACCAGCGCGGTATGAATCTAGCTGCATTGCTATATTGCATTGTAAAATTGTAGGTAACTAGATAGCTAGCTGCGCAAAGAATTCAATGTGTGCACTGTATCGTCTGACGAATCCAAAGTAAAAGCGCTCGCCAGCAGCATACAAGCGATTTCGCAATAATTCTTCACTTCCGGTCGGGGCTCGCCACAGCGAGTGAATTTCACCGGCAGCATGAATAGGGACTTTTAGATTTGCACGTCGACATAGTGGACTGATACGTGATGAGGTCGTTATAAGTCACTGCGCATGCGTCACATCGTCTCCGTCGTCGACAATCAGAATTGGGAGTGCGTCAAGTATGATTTTCTCGTCGTCCTAAATTTAGAACACCGTGTTCACATATGTGACATCATCTCAAGCATCAATGACGAAAAAGTCAGAAATATATTTTTTTTTTTGAGCAACAACAGTTTTCACGAAACTGAGGCAAGTTTCGTGGTTCCCTTCTCTCTATTCGCATTAAAACTCTTTTGTCTTGAACTGTGAAAGTTTGATTGGTATGTTATAGCATCCGTAGAAAGGTTTATAGCTAGTGGCAGTGGCAATGTGGATGAGCTTCGCACTGGCACCGGCCAGCCGGCTGGTGACGTGACGGCCGCGAGGACAAGGGACGCCGCGAGGAACCGGCGCGCCGGTTCCTCGCGGTCGGCCCAAGGCCAGCACCCGGACAAGACCGCGACTTAGCCATCATAATGCTCTTGTAAAGTAATTCAGCTTAGGTCTGTGAGTCCGCAAATTAAAAAAACAACAACAACAAATAAATAAAAGCACAAGTTCCGGATCAGGCACAATGAATATGCAAATTTATGGTTTCTCTAATTTGATGCAGATTAGCGATTTCTGACAGATGAACTCTCATGATATAGCTTATTTTTCCATTTTGGATCGAACAGAATCTCCTTTGAAACTTAGCGTGCCGTTCATGACTTCATTACGTGTACCTCCTGTCAACGTATATCGTCATGTGAAATCTAAATGATTTCTACATGTAGTCAACAGGGGCAGTTGACTACCTTGACACGCGTGCTCAGCGTACGTTCACGCCGTCCTCGTCCTCTCATTAGGGACTTTTAGATTTGCACGACGAGAACGTGGACTGCTAGGTGTGACATCCATTTAAGTTAATGTGATGTCCTTTTAACAAGGCACTGCCGGACACGGTCAGTGTCTTAAAAAGATGTCACATGTAGCAGTCCAAGTTCTTGTCGTGCAAATCTAAAAGTCCCTAAACCTAAATTCCTAATGGCACAAGCGGGAAAGTGGCGCTTCCACTTTTGTTTACATGAGGCAAATTCTATCGTTTTTTCTTTGGTGTGACTCTGATAGAAGGACTATGAAAGAGGTATTCGAACATTTGTCCTAAAAGTAACTTCTTAAAAATAATAAGTAAGCAAAGAGAAATAACTTTTAAAATAAAAATTCAGTTAAAATGGAAAACTGATTTGAAAACTTACTGAAGTGTTTTGACATTGGATGCAGTTTTGTGGGGAGATCGTCTGTCTTTCGTCGAAACTCAATTGTACCGAAACAGTCTGCCAAATATAAACGTTTTAAGAACAATAACTCTCTCATTGTGTTTAATTAAATCAAATACGTGCTCTACACGGTTAAACACCGTGCTCACAGTCTTCTAAAATATTTAATACCCTGTCCAAGATCATAGTTACTTTCTGTGACTCAAAGTAGTTTACCCTAATCTTTCAATCCACGGTAAATTTATATATTTCCCAAATCGAAAGCTGAAGTGATGAATAAGGATACATCGGTATTCTTTTGAGACAAAAATTTTCATTTCTAATTACTTATTCACATTCGTTTGATAATTCAAATTCATCGACAACCACCTGCCCCCCCCCCCCCCCCGAAAAAAAAAATGTACTTGATTTCGAGTGCAAATGTTATCTCCTTACAATACTTATTTCGAATCAAACCAAGAGGTATTGTAATAACTCTGACATAACAGTAGCTTTACCTGTCATGTCATGTCGACCTATGTTAATCAAAACATCGTCAAGTTTGCATCTCTTCTCATAGTTACTGCATTCCTCATTGGCAATCCAGTCACAAATAAGTGACTGTGTGTCAAACAACATTTCATTGTTTTCATCTGAAATGTCGGACATCCTCTTTTCATCCACGTTAGGCATCTCGTTCGCCAATCGTTTGCAGTGCCTACTTGTCAGTTTGAGGACGAACTCTTTTTCCTGGAGTTGAATAGGCTTTTGGAGAAGAGCAGGTACTGGAAGGGGGCACATGTTGGAAACTCATTAACGATTATTTTAAGCTATTTTCATAACAAGAGGCAAAAACAAAATAAAACAAATCATAATCTTAATCCATACATCACACATTGCAGCCATTTGACTAAAAACATAAACATAGTATGTGAGTAATTCCCAAGTGAACTCGTGTAACACATTTAGAAACATCAACTAAACAACAATTCATGTGTAATGCTTATAGGACTTTAATCTCTACCTTTTAAAGTTTAAAGTTGTGTATGTTTATCTTGTTTGCAAATACATGTACCTAGCATTTTTCTTAGTTATATGTAGATCGGAAGTGAAGATAACAATATGTGGTGGTAAAGTGGGAGGGGGGGGGACCACGTTTTATTTAACTTTAAAATGTTAAGGAGGTATAATATTATGACCAAGACATATGTTTGTTAGCCAATAAAGACAGTATTAATGAAGAAAAAATATGCATGTTTAAATTACGTTAACGGATGTTATATACGTACCTTTGAAGAAAGTTCTGTCCAAAGGACTGCACTGTGAGCTTTCTAGCGCTAGGCTCAATAAGACTAACGGGTGTTTGTCAAACGGTGTCTTCATCCATTCCTCCAGTTTGGCAAGGGCTGCTCTGATGTTGTCTTTGACGGGTTTTGAATCGTCAAGTCCTGATTGTAAGTGGTTTTGAGACAGCTTCTGAAGAAAGCTGTTTATCTTGCCGGGATCTTTCAGGTGCCACAGGATGTGTTCCAGCGTAGCTTCAGAAAGAATCCTATCATTTCCGTTCCTTCGATCTTGAATGCAATAAAATCATGATCTATATCAATGGAATAAGAACTATGATCATGCTGAGGCCTAAACAAAAATGAAGTTGTATTGCCCTTTAAGACCAACCCCAATATCCTGAAATCTACGGTCGGCTTTTTTTAATATTTTTTTTTTT